TTTCTTCTAAGCTTTGTTGTCCGGTTTTAAGGATTTTTGTCCTGTCTTGAGCTGTCAATGGATTCATGTACCTTCTATTTGAACAGAATACTAACCTGTTTCTAGGACTTAAGTTTCAAGGAAATATCCTTACCAATTCAAAACTGCTTTTCTTGAAACCATCAGCTGAACTTGCTATTGAAAGCTGTTAGATTACTTATGATATTGTGTGATCAATGAAATGTTGGGGGAAAAGGAATTGAAGATAACTGTGGACAGCAGAGATAGTGTAATAAGACAGCGGAATAGGGCAGAGGGTCAGACATGGGGTAAAAAAACATATATATATGAAAGTATTAATGGAATATTATGGATGGTAACATGCATGATTAAGCCACTATGCAGTTTATTCTAGATGGGAAACCACATTTAGTATGTTGTGATGATGCTCAGGGAATGAATGTAAATTAAAAAAAAAATTTCAGAGGAAAAAAAGGCATTAAAAATACCTATTTGATGACTGCAGTAAGCTACATAGCCCTAGCTAGGTGCTACTTTATAGTATGTTCATTCTATTCACTAAGGTTTATGCCTAAAGTCAGACTTGTGTTCATGGATATGTATTTATCAGTTGTGTTTGCTATTGAAAATATTTAGATTTATTAAGATATTTAGTGAAACAATAAAATAGGGGAGGGATAGAAAGCAACAATAGATACCAGACACAGTGTGGGAGGAGGGTGGGAGATGGCAGAGGGTGAGATAGGGAATCAAGGATGGGAAAAAAGGCAAAATATACAGAAAACAAGAAATGGAAAATTATGTGTTGACAATAACACATATGTTGATGTATTTGATTGAGCCAATATACAGTGTATTCTGAATGGAAAAATCTCAGTTTGTATGCTATAATGATGTACAGTGAATGAATATAAATAAAGAAAGAAAAAAAAAGAAGATAAAAAGATGAGAAACCAGAGATATACAGAAAGAATCACTCTAAGTAGCATGATGTTTCAGTCAGATTCACATTATTTTAATCGTGACTTAGCTAAGAAATAAATCACTCTGTATGCCCACACATGTGAGTGTCCTTAATTTGCCTATAGGGCATCTGAACAAAGAATAAATTAGCACATTAGGTTAGGTTGTCTGCAAAGTCATAATATATTTTTCTGTTTTTCTATGAAAAATACATCATGACTTTCCTGATGACTCGGTATTCAAAAGTCTAAAAAAAGAAAATAATGTATTTACTATACTTTTTTTTCAGATTAACTATTAGATTGCTTGCTTTTAATTTAGAAGTACCTCACCTGAAAAGTTGCCTACAGGAGGGACGAGCAGTTAGCGTAATGGCTATGTCGCTGGACTCCCATGTAGTCGACCACGGTTCGTGTCCCGGACCCAGTGGCTTAAAACTCACACCGGGCACGTGTGCATGCATGCCCAAGATCCCGAGAGGAGAATGGAGGAGAAGGGATTGTGGCGTGGCCATCTCCCCTGGGGGGTGATTTCTCGCTTCCTGTCTCTCTGTCTGTCTGGCGAGCGCACATGCCCTATAGCAAAAACCTCTCCAAAAAAAAAAAAAAGTTGCTACAGGATAAAGGTAATTGTATTGAGCAACTGAAAATATAATAGTACTTCAAAATACATTTACCTTATGCTTCCAAAATCTCTGATATATTCACTTACCGGGTCACTGGGAAAGTCATGACATACTTGTAAAAATGTGTCAGGACTTTCCCAATGACCTCAAAGCTGTCTGAGTAAATGGCTGGATGGTCAATAAATATTTACACAACGACATGTGCAATACCACCACAAAAACGTGAAGATTAATATTGCCCTCGTGCACCATTTTTTAGCCTCTATGTTTCCCCACAGCCCCCTTCATCCACTCCTATACTAGTCATGTTGATCTTTTAAAATTTCTGTTTATCTTCCAAATTCCTGGGCAACAAACCTCTTTTCTATTCTAAAAGTGGGTACAGCAAGACTCAGCCCCCGCTGCCATGTACTCTCTGGCATTACAGTCATGACTGATGCTATTGCTCCCTTGTTTATGTGGTTATTTCTATTGCTTTTTAATTGCTAGAGGGCAAGTGCACTCACTCACACTCACCACAGAGACACAGAGGGAGAGGGAAAACCCACTCCCCATTAGGGCACGGTCATGCTGCGATCTCTTCTCCATCCTTTCAGGATCTGTGGCATGCACACTTGCCTGGCAGGTTTTTCAAGTCACTAGGACTAGGACTTGAACAGTGGCTGGCCATGCAGGATCTAGCTGTCTTAACCACTAGGCCATTACATGGTCCTTATCTGGTTATGGTTATTTTCTAGTCAAACCTTTGGCTAGTGAGAACTTTTTGAGACATTTCTGTGGTTAAAGCACCTAAAATACAGTCAAGTTAGCTAATCTTCAGGGATATCAAATTTGACAGCCTCCAGAACATGCTCTTCCTCGTTCAGCTCTACTTAGGAATTAAAATTTACCCATGGCATGAGTCGTTTATAACTTACCAGGTGCTGTCGAATAGGCATACAGGAAGTCGGCCTCAACTGGAATTTTCTGACATGCCATGTCCTCATCAATGCCACTGTCTGTCTCAATGCCGCAGTCCAGTTCTGTACCTCGGCACGCCTGGGTGTCAGAAAAATCAACATTTAAAAAATGTATGTGTACACGTGTAACTGACTTCTAAGAAATGTAAAGGTTGGGTAATTATGCTGAGTCTTTTCGATATAAGCCTGAAATCTGAAAGTAATTTTCTGGGGGCGTGGTTAAGGGAGCTGGATCCCACATGGCCAACTGGTTTGTGATTGTGGACGCACGGGCTTGAAGAACATGCTAGGTATGTGAGCATGCATGCTCCAAATCCTGATGGGATGGAGAGAGGGAGAAGGGAGTGTGGCATGACCACACCTCATTGGGGGTGTTTTCTCCCTTTCCCTCTCTCACTCTGTCTTGCACACATCCCCTTTGGCAAATAAAAAAATAATAAATACAAAAGATTTTAGCCTTTTAAAAAAAAATGCATTTCTTTCTTTTATGAGTTAGAGACAGTATCCAAACAGGATCTTAATGCCGTGATCCACCAGCCCTGACTCACTGACAAGTGTGTGCCTGGCATACTCAGGGAGGTCTCCAGACTTGAACCTTAAACCTCACAGAGCACTGCATTTTATCTCTGTGCCACCACCTGTTCCCCTCCCCCCCATTAAAATTTATGCCATATCCCCTAATGGTTTAAATGGATACAAAAGTAATAATAGCTCCATAGCCTTGGGGGGAAAAAATCCCAAATCCTTTGGGTAATTATGAAGTGATCTCTGATTAATCCTCGGTAACCAAATTGCTGAGTTATACACTACCTGAATGATGAAAATCTTGGGTTTTCCCATTAGGCTTCTACAATAATCTCCTCTAAAGAAACCAGTTATTTTTTTCAGGTCAACAGGTCCATTTGTTCCAAAAATGATTCCTTCTTCACCATGGCTAAGAAGCACACAGACAAAACTGCTCCTTTTGCTGTGATCTTCTTTAGAAACTGGAAAAGACATTTATATATAAGAGAAAACCCCCCACTTTATTAATAATCTCAGCTATACTCTATGGGGATAAGAGGAAGACTCTGAGACTAGAACTCAGGGATCGTCTACGCCCAACCTGGAGCCGAGCAACACACCTCAAACCATTTTTAGGGAGTTGATGTGAGTAACCTTTATTCTTTAAAATGGGTTTATTCCATGAGTGAGACAGAAAAACAGAGATAAAGCATTTCAGACAGGGTCCGGACACAGCAACCAACTCGCAGCCTTGACCAGCAGTTCACAAGCATGTGTGTGCAACAACCTTCTCTCGTGGGTCTTCCTTACCCCTGTGCCACCCTCCTGCTTCCATGAATAACGTTATTCACTTGTTACTAAGACACACGCACAGTGTAATCCTACAATTAGCATTCTTTATTATGTGTCTAATTATAGGTAGAATATAATATAAATTAAACAATGAAAGGGATTCTTTTAATGATTTCTTACCTTTTTGCAAGAATTCTATCATTTCTTCACGTGTAAGGTCATTTTTATGCCTGACTTCATATTTTAAGTTCATGAATGTTTCCCTGAGGTTTGCGGCATCTACATCTGTACCAGACCGACATGACATTCCTAAGAAAAGAAAGACTTACTTTTAAATGCATTTAAAAAAAAAAAGAGTGAACTGTTTTGGAGTGAAATGAACTTCTCAGTAATTAATGAATCCACAACAAATTCTTCCGTTCAAATGCTAAGAAAATATTATTTTGATCATGGTGACTATTATTGTTTAGATAATGGTTTTGGAATCTGGTCCCCAGTGTAATATTGGCACTGGGAGGAGGTAGGAACTTTTTAAGAAGTGAGGTCTAGTGGTGGTGTCTGGATTGTGGAGACATTACCTTCAGGAACAGATTAATGCTATCTCATGTGACTGAGTGAGTTCTACTCTCATGAGAAGGGGTCAATTCCTGAGAGGGTGGGTCATTATAAAGCAAGATGACTGCCCCCAGGTCTCCTTTTGCACATGCTCCCCATCTTGTCTGCCTCTATTGGTCATGCTGGGATGCAGTACCTGCTATGGGCCCTACACATTTTTGGACTTCCTATTTGCTGGGATCCTAAGTCAATAAAAAAGTTCCCACACCTTTGGACTTCCTAGCTGCTGGGATCCTAAGTCAAAAAAAAAGTTTTAATTTTTATAAATGAACAACTTTCAGATACGTTGTTAACAACGTAATAGCAGGTAAGACAAAACACCATTCATTTACTGGCATATCAGACACTCACGATAGGGGCCAGCAAGTGGCATAGTGGTTAAGGCACTAGATTCCCATGTAGTTGACCACAGTTCGAACCCCAGACCAGGCAGCTGAAACTCATGCCAGGTGTGTGTGTGTGTGTGTGTGTGCCCCAAATCCCAAGAGGAGAATGGAGGAGAAGGGAGAATCACCCTCTGGCCATCCACCCAGAGGGTGATTTCTCGCTTTTTGTCTTCTGGCAAGCTCACGCACACCATGGCAAAAGTCTCTCTCAAAAAAGAAGACATTCACAGTAAAAGCTGTCAATGTCCAAGCCACCTCTCACAGCAGCTTAGACAGTGAAAAAACAGAAATACCTTAAAAGCCTAATAATAAGGGTTTGGTTAAACAAATGATTCATAATAATTCATAGTGGAATATCATGTTGCCATTTTTGTCAATGAAATTTTGCTATGGGAAAATGGCCACTTTTTTTCAGAAAACCAAAAAAATAGGGGCTGGCAGGTGGCGTGGTGGTTAGGGGTGCTGAAATCCCACATGGCCAACCATGGTTTGAGTCCTGGACCACCATGGAGGCTTGCTTTCTCACTTTCCCTCCCTCTCTCTCTCTCTCTGGTCAATTTAAGTTAAATAAAATAATTCTTAAAAAAAAAAAAAAAAGACAAGAAAAAATACTCTATTTTTAAGCAAAAACTATGTGTATATAAAATATATACATACATTTCACACACTCAGAAAACCTGAATTTCTTTGGTTCTAAGTTCCTGACAATTTTATGATAGCCTTATTCCTTTTCCAGTATCTTTTTAGGGGAAAACAAAAAACCAAACTTCAATTCCATTCATTGGCATTCTGGTATAAACAATCTCTTTCAGTCCTTCCCACCACAAGAACTATTGTCGCAGTGTTGTTTGTAAAGATGAAGGACATAGCCCAGTTAAGAAACTTGTCAAAGTGCGCCAGCCAAGTTGCAGGGTAGTTAGGACAACTGGATCCCACGTGGCCAGCACTTTGGTTTGAGTCCTAGATCCTGCAACTTGAAAAACACACCAGGTGCATGAGTGCCCAAAGTCCCAAGAAAAGAATGGAGAAGGGACTGTAGTGTGTCCATGCTCCATGGGGGGTGCTTTCCCACCCACTCCCCACCTCTAATGAGTGCACGTGCCCAACAGCACATTAGAAAAGAAAACAAGGGGGGAAAAAAGAAATTTGTCAAAGTAACAAAGCTAGTGTTGGGCAAGCAGGGGTGTGGTGGTTAAGGCAGCTGGATCCCACATGGGCAGCAGCTGTTTATGTCCCAAATTCAGCAGCTTGGAAAACACATTGGGTACACGTGCCCTCAAGATCCCAGTAGGAGAAATGGAAGAGAAGGGATTATGGCATGGCCATCGCCCCTGGAGGGTGCTTTGTCTTTCTCTCTCTCTCCGGCAAGCACATGAGTCCTATAGAAAATTAAAAAAGCTAGTGCAGGGGCCAGAAGATGGAATGGCTGTTAAGGGTGCTGGACTCCCACATGGTTGATTGCCATTCAAGTCCCAGACCTGGCGGCTTGCTTTCTCACTCTCTCTCTCTCTGTGTCTGTCCCTCTCTGGTCAAATTAAAATAAGTAAGTAAATAAAGTTAAATAATTCCTAAAAAACAAAATAAATAAAAGCGACTATAAGGTCAATATCCTGGGGTCCTGGGCTTTTTTCTGTCTTCATTTACTGAAGGGTGTGTGCGCTCACCAAACAGAGAGATGGAGAAATTCTCCCCAATGGGGTGTGGTCACACCACAATCCCTTTTTATCCATTTCTCCATCCCGTCAGAATTTGGGACATGTACATACACACATACCTGGATTATTTTTCAAATCACCAGGGCCAGAATTTGAACTGCCATGGAATCCACTTTTTTTCAAAGAGATTTTTGCTATGCGGGCGTGTCCACCAGAGAGACAGAAAGCCATAAATCACCCCACAGAGGGTAAGGCCATACCACAAGCCCTTCTCTATTCTTCTTCAGGATTTTGGGCATGCATGTACAGGTTCCCAGTGTGAGTTTCAAGCCACCAGGTCTGGGATTCAAACCACAGTCAACCAGTGCCTTAACCACCTCACCACCTGCTTGCTGATCCTGGGATCTACCTCTTTTAATCACTAGGCTATAGAGTTGGCCCTATTTTATATATTCTCTCAAAAAAGTTTCTAAAATGTACTATTAGATTCAAATTGTATATTGTGCAGAAATTGAGCAAGTGATCTGGTGACCAGCCATGGTGAATTTCAAGAGAATAGTGTCAGTGATAAAGGCAGGAAACAGAAAAATGGTTCAGGAAGTCAGGGAAAGAAGTGAGGATAGCAAGTTTTCATAAGATATAATAAAATTTTAGGGGAGAAG